CTTTACGCAGTCACAACCATTATCCCTCATTCTCCCAATCTGGACATTTCCCAAAGGTCAATTTTCAGCCCTGAGTTCTTCTTTAATTTCTTATTAGGAAGTGCTTTTGGCCAGGCACAGTGGTTCACACCTATAATCCCAGCACTTTGGTAAGCCAAGGCAGGCAGATCATGTAGGACAGGAGTTCAAGACCAGCTTGGCCAACATGGCAAAACCCCATCTCTATAAAAACAAAAAAATTAGCTGGGTGTGGTGGTGCATGCCTATAATCCCAGCTGCTTGGGAGGCTGAGGTATGAGAACCACTTGAACCTGGGAGGTGGAGGCTATAGTGTGCCGAGACTGTGTCACTGCACTCCAGCCTGGGCAAAAGAACAAGAGCCTATCTCAAAAAAAAAAAAAAGTAAAGACATTCTGTGTTTATGAATCAAAAGACTTTATTAATTTTTTTAAAATTTTATCTCATAAATTTAAAAATTCATAAAAAGAAAGTGCTTTTATTCTGACAATCATCCTAAGTCATCTCTATTCAAATGATTCATAGATAGAGCTCTTTCTGATCTTGACCTCTCCAATAAGCTCTGGTTTATATCACTAAACAATACTAGAGATTTGTATTCTAAATCTAGCTCATGTCCAAAAGATCCAAATGAGATCTCATCACCTTTCTCCCCAAAATAGGTTTGCCACCCTGATTCTGAGTTTGGTATCACCATAGCCTTAACAAAACTATGGTCTCTTCTTGTATCCCTTTTTCATATAGCTTGTCCACTTTCTGGATCTAATTCAGCCCCAGCCAATGCCAACTCCTCTCTCTACTGCATGAGCCACTCTGTCACCTTCAGGCTAACGAGGCAGAGAGTGTGAGGCTGGAGAAACAAGGGCTCCTCCCCTCACCCCCCAGTACCAGGTCCCATTCTTCCCTCTCAGGCCCTGACAAAGAGTTGCTGCACAGCAACCACTCCTCAGAATATAACCACGGTAAATACATCAAGCTACAAGGTTCAGTTAGAAGGCTAAACCTCAAAGAGCGTGTCTGCTACCCTACATTTTACAAATGAGGAAACTGAAGCCCAGCAAAAAGAAGTAACGTCCCACGACCACACAAGTAATGGAGTACAGATAACTCTCCTTACTCCCCAACTCCTCTTTCTCTTAACACTTTTCATGTTCCTCTAAAGGTTTTATTTTCTGAATCTTTCATCATAGTTTTCTTACAAAGGAATTTCACACCTCCTTTTCAAATTAGTGGCACATGACTCCTCCTCTAGGAAGCATTCTATGACCTAACTCCTCCAATCCTCACCCCAAGCTAAGCAGGTTTCCTTCCTCTGCATTCTGCTTTCTGTATCTCACTGTATTTGAATTGCCAGTTTGCTCATCTGTATCACTCACAAGATTTCAAGCTCTATAGCGGAGGGTATATAGCTGTTTTAATTTCCATGGCCACCACTCCTGCTTCATACTCACCAACTTACCCAGACTTCATAGCATCCCTCTTATCAGTCCCCCAATCTCCAGCCTTTCACCTTCAGTCATCATACCCACATCATCAGAATAATTTAAAACCATATCTCTGCCATATATCTACCTAAAGACTTTAAATGACTTACCCTCTTTATAGGGGCAATTCTGAACTAATCATTCTAACACAGACTGTCAGTCAATAAACATATATTAGCCATCTATTCTGTGCAAAAACATTCAAAGACATCTAAAATATTGTCCCATCTCTCTTAAAATTCTAATTCTCCACTTTGCATCAAAACAAACCTTCTACTCCACTCACAGTATTTCCTTTCTGCTCAAATACTCCAAGTTGAGACTCTTGCTCTTAATTTACAGTGCTACCACCATATTTGTCACCTTTCTGCAACTATACTGGACAAGATCTGCCCCATTCTCTCATGACCTTGAGAGCTTGTTTGGAATTTCTAGCAGGGGGATAAAAGCTACTCATATGCCCTTGACAGAAGACTGGTGGTCCTCTACGGAGGATGGTCACATTGGAAGGGATGAACACGGAGCGGTGGGGGAGGAAGAGACACCCACTTAGCCAATCAGATCAGCCAAATCAACCCTAGTGATCAATGGTGAACAGTTGTCACAGCCAGATCACCCTCACATTCACCATTCCTTCAAAAAACAGCTGAAGTTCTATCTCCTTCATGAAACTTTGTCTGCAACTGTCTATATCCTTTTCTCTTTTTACCCTGAAATTCTACAGCAGTTCTGGCCAATGGAAATATACTGCAAACCATATTCTGAAATTTAAAATTTTTAAAGCCACATTTACAAAAAGTAAAAAGGAATAGGTAATATTAACTTTAATACTATATCCAAAATATTATAATGTAAACATATAATCAGTATTTTTCTCTTTTTTTTTTTCAGTCTTTCTAAGGTTCAATTCAGGTAATCAATATTTTTAAAAATTACACCTGTTATCCCAGCATTTTGGGAGGCTAAGGTGGGTGGATGAGGAGTTCGACACCAGGAGTTCAAGACCAGGAGGTCAGGAGTTCGAGACCAGCCTGGCCAACATGGTGAAACCCTGTCTCTACTAAAAATACAAAAATTAGCCGGGTGTGGTGGCGCATGCCTGTAGTCCCAGCTGCTGGGGAGGCTGAGGCAGAAGAATCACTTGAACCCAGGAGGTGGAGGTTACAGTGAGCCAAGATCATGCTATTGTACTCCAGCCTGGGTGACAAGAGAGAAACTCCATCTCAAAATAAATAACGAGACATGTTACTCTTGTTTTGGTACTAAGACTTTAAAATTCAAGCATATTTTATATTTCAAGTACATTTCAACTCAGGCTTATGACTTTTCAAGCATTCAACAACCTAATGTGGCTATTGGCTAACACAACACTAAATGGCATGGCTTAGAGTGCCCATCTTCCACACTCTCTAGAACTTCCTTATATATTGCGTTGTTGTCTTCATTTCATGTATTATCTTCTTGACTATATCACACAGTCCTCACAGCAAGGGACAATGTTGCATGTTTTTTTCTTCCCCAGGATGCCTAACAAAAAGTGCTCAGTAGACTGAAACCTTCAAGTTCATATCATGTTTTATAAATTAATTTTCTTCAACATCAGTGTTTGGTAGAAAATAAGACAGAATTTCTGGTGTCACAGATAAAGGTTGTAAGCTTTATTATAATCTTAAAATATAAAAAGCAAAGGAAGCTTCCCAAAGTCACCCAGGTAAAGGACCTCATAATTCCAGTCTAGTCTGATATACTAACCGTCTGGTATCCTACCACCTAACAGTGTTTCTCAAATCATCACTAAAGATGATCACTGAGACTGGAGTCAGCTGCCCACCAGCTCCAGTTCTCAAATTCAGGGTTACAGCCACCTGGCTGAGTATCCATCACCCTAGGAACTGAAAGAATTGATGGAGATGTGCTGATGCCAAGGCAGACAGTGCCCCATCCTCTCATAGCTGCTCATCCAGTGGAATGTAATACCTTCCAACACTGTCCACATGACCAGAACAACCTTCATCCTAACTAGTGTTACTTCTGGCTGCTATACCATTCCCACATAATACCACTCTCCTTCTTCAAATCAAATGTTGTAAAGCTAATTATTCCTAAAGAAGCAAACAGTATAGAAAATAGAAGAGTCTTAAGATGAAAAAATTAGCCGGGCGCGGTGGCTCACGCCTGTAATCCCAGCACTTTGGGAGGCCGAGGCGGGTGGATCACGAGGTCAAGAGATCGAGACCATCCTGGTCAACATGGTGAAACCCCGTCTCTACTAAAAATACAAAAAATCAGCTGGGCATGGTGGCGCGTGCCTGTAATCCCAGCTACTCAGGAGGCTGAGGCAGGAGAATTGCCTGAACCCAGGAGGCGGAGGTTGTGGTGAGCAGAGATTGCGCCATTGCACTCCAGCCTGGGTAACAAGAGCGAAACTTCGTCTCAAAAAAAAAAAAAAAAAAAAAGATGAAAAAATTAGTTTTTCTAACATTGCAGAAATCTCACCCTAACCACAAGATGTCCTTATATGAAATTCAAGTATACATACAGATTTCCTTTTAAATATCTCTCCTTCAACTGAGAGGACTGAGAACTTCAGCTGAGAACTGCAGCTTCCAGTAGACACAAATTTTGAGTTTAAAAATTAAAAAAGGAACACAAAGGTGGAATGAGAAGAAGGAAATAAAGCAGAAGGTAGAGTAGGAAAAATAGTTTTATGAAATGCAGCCATGGGGAAGAAAAAGGAAGCTGAGGCAAGGATCTACCTTAGGCTTGTGTTGTGGGATGGGAACAGGGATATCCCTAAGAGGGACAAAGGAGGCTAATGTGCTAATAATCACCACTGAGGGGACTAAGGTTTTATAATAACTCTCATAGTGAGAAGGAATGAAAAATACCTATTGAGTGATGGCAAGCTGAGTACATGGGAGGTTGCCCAAAGCCTCTTCTGTCTCTAGCTTTGTTACTATGTACCTCTGAGACTATGGTGAGACCCCAAAGGAAATACGAAATGGAGATCACAGAGGTTAAGAACTCTGAGTCATAAAATCAGAAATGTACTGACTATTAAGATGGAAGGTCAAATACCAAAAAAAAAAAAAAAAGCACTTCACAGTTTGCATGTTATTTTCGAAAAAAGTACATTTCCAAAAATAAAAAAAAAACACAAAAATGTCCAAGTTATCTCACTGAAAAGTTTCTAGCAAGTAAGAAATAGAAACTAGAAATAATCCAACATTCAATATCCTATTTTAAGATTTCTAAATGTCTAATTTTCTCTTTATTTAGAAAGCTGTCTTTACTATTTTGGTGATATACTACATAAAAAATATTTACAAAGACTTTAGGCTGGGTGCAGTGGCTCATGACTATAATCCCAGCACTTTAACAGGCTCACTCAAGACTCTGATCTCCAACTCCATTTTAAAAATTAGATTGTTTTTGTTCCTCAACAGAACCTTTCACCACAGAGGTTAACAGAAACGTAACACAAAAGATTAGGGAGTGAATACTATACATGCCAAGTTCACAAAAGAATTAATCACGTTTGTATATTGTATTCCACACAATAAAAACCTTGTCCGGTAATTTGCTTCCTTTATATTTTTAACTGACCACTGGCCTGGCTGAATTACCTTTGTAACTAGCAAGGTTAAAATTTTTTTAGGTTGGCCGGGCGCGGTGGCTCAAGCCTGTAATCCCAGCACTTTGGGAGGCCGAGGCGGGTGGATCACGAGGTCAAGAGATCGAGACCATCCTGGTCAACATGGTGAAACCCCGTCTCTACTAAAAATACTAAACATTAGCTGGGCATGGTGGCGCGTGCCTGTAATCCCAGCTACTCAGGAGGCTGAGGCAGGAGAATTGCCTGAACCCAGGAGGCGGAGGTTGCGGTGAGCCGAGATCGCGCCATTGCACTCCAGCCTGGGTAACAAGAGTGAAACTCCGTCTCAAAAAAAAAAAAAAAAAAAAATATTTTTTTAGGTTATGTGTGTAGTGGCATTTTGCTATAAAAAAAAAAAAAAGAAAAAGAAAAAAAATTTTTTTAGGTTAAATGTCTATATGGAAACAGAAAACCTGATATTATTCATAAGATATCCAAACCAATGTGAGGCAAAAAATAAAAAAACTAAACAAAGATTTTAGTTGAAAATCTATCATGGAAACACACACACACACACACACAAAAGAAAATCTACCATTGAGAAAATAATAAAGATTTAAACTACCCATGTTATTTGTCAAAATTTTTTTCATTTAGATCTCACCAGAGTTGTAAGCTCTTTTACTTCAAAAAGGTACAATAAACTTTTTTTTAAAGCTGGGTTTCTAGGCTGGGTGCCGTGGCTCATGCCTGTAATCCCAGCACTTTGGGAGGCCTAGATGGGAGGATCATGAGGTCAGGAGATCGAGACATCCTGGCCAACATGGTGAAACCCCACCTCTACTAAATACAAAAAAAATTAGCTGGGTATGGTGGTATGCGCCTGTAGTCCCAGCTACTCAGGAGGCTGAGGCAGGAGAATCGCTTGAACCCGGGCGGCAGAGGTTGCAGTGAGCCAAGATCATGCTACTGCACTCCAGTCAGGCAACAGAGCAAGACTCCGTCTAAAAAAAAAAGAAAGAAAAAAGAAAAAGAAAAAAGGCTGTGATTCTAAAAACAACAGGATAAAAATGCACAGCCAATGTGTTCAAGACATTTCCAGCACTGACATGTAATTCACACTGCAACCATAATTGCAAAGTAAAGCTATAACAGAGGTTGCAAAAATATCACTAGATTTTGCTATACTTAAGAGGAAAACATTTGCTGTAACAATAAGGGTATTAATTTTAAGCTTCATTTTGATCTTTCAAAGGAATAGAAGAAACTAGAAATAATGGTTACCTCCAGGGCAGGGAACTAATGTGGACCAGTGGTTGAGGGATTTACTTTTCACTATTGTAAATACCTTTCTGAATTTTATAAATTTTATATGTGTGTATATGAGATATTCAGAAAGTTTCTTTTTAATATAAATGTTTAAATAATAACCTTTTTTATTTTCTTAGAATTGCATGTACTGTATTTCTAAGTAACACTGGAATTAGCATCTTTCAGCAAGACCACTGAAATTCTAAATAATTTAAAGATTGCCAGGCATGGTGGCTCACGCCTGTTAATCCAAGCACTTGGGAGGCCAAGGTGGGCAGATCACCTGAGGTTGGGAGTTCAAGACCAGCTTGACCAACATGGTGAAACCCCATCTTAAAAAAATAATAATAGGCCGGGCGCGGTGGCTCAAGCCTGTAATCCCAGCACTGTGGGAGGCCGAGGCGGGTGGATCACGAGGTCAAGAGATCGAGACCATCCTGGTCAACACGGTGAAACCCCGTCTCTACTAAAAATACAAAACATTAGCTGGGCATGGTGGCGCGTGCCTGTAATCCCAGCTTCTCAGGAGGCTGAGGCAGGAGAATTGCCTGAACCCAGGAGGCGGAGGTTGCAGTGAGCCGAGATCGCGCCATTGCACTCCAGCCTGGGTAACAAGAGTGAAACTCCGTCTCAAAAAAAAAATAATAATAATAATAATAATAATAATAATTTAAAGATAATTTTTTTTAGCCAGTAGAGGAGAAACAATTATTGCCTCTACTTCAAATAATACGCCCTATTTCTATTTCCATTATGACTTCTGCAAACTTATATCATAACTTAAAAGTAGCAATGTCTGTTTCAGGTGGCATATTAATAAGGTATATTATTATTATAGAATCCACATACAAATGGCGCTCATTAAAAAGAGAAAGAGAGAGAAGGAGAAAGAAAAGAAAGAGAAAGAAAGAAAGAAGAAAAAGGAAAGAAAGAATGAAAGAGAGAAAGAGAAAGAAAGAAAGAGAAAGAAAGAAAAGAAAAGAGAAAGGAAGAAAGAAACAAACAAAGAAACAAAGAAAGAGAAAGAAAGTCCTCCATATTCCTGGGTTCTGCATCTGTATTCCAGCAATTGTGGACTGAAAACATTCCCCCTAAAAACTGCATCTGTACTTAACATGGGCAAACTTTTCTTCCTGTCATTATTCCCTAAACAATATAACTTAACAACTATTTACAAAGCATTTATATTACATTAGATACTGTAAGTAATCTAGAGATAATTTAAAGTATACAGGAAGATATACATAGGTTAAATGCAAATACTATGCCATTTTATATAAGAATCTTGAGCATCCTAGGATTTTGGTATCTGTAGGCATCCCTGGAACCAATCCCCCAAGGATACCAAGGGACAAACTACAAACAAAAGAAAAGCACCAAAACCAAACCAAGGGGAAAAAAATGGTGGAAAAAATGTCTAACATTCAATTCAACTACATTTACTCAGCTACCTATATGCACCTAGCACCTTCCTATAGATATAAAGAAAAGTTTCCATCTTTCTCAATACAGTTTTCAGTCTCCCATCAGTTATCACAGAATATACTAAAATTAAAATAAAAATAAATAATACAGTCTTAAACTATATGGTTTGTTCTAAGAAAGTACTGTTCATGAATACGAGTTTAAAGGCAAGTAGAAAACGTGTTTCTGGGCCGGGTGCGGTGGCTCACGCCTATAACTCCAGCACTTTGGGAGGCCGAGGTGGGTGGATCACGTGGTCAAGAGATGGAGACCATCCTGATTAACATGGTGAAACCCCATCTCTACTAAAAATACAAAAATTAGCTGGGCATGGTGGCGCACACCTGTAGTCCCAGCTACTTGGGAAGGCTGAGGCAGGAGAATTGCTTGAACCCAGGAGGCGGAGGTTGTGGTGAGCAGAGATGGTGCCATTGCACTCCAGCCTGGGTAACAAGAGCGAAACTCCGACTCAAAAAAAAAAAAAAAATGAAAATGTGTTTCTGGAAGTCTGTTTCCCCACCATTAGCTTACTGCTATCTATTCAGCAGCTGAAAAGCAAGTAAATCTCCACGCAACTAGAAAAAGCTTAAAACAGGTGGGCATGGTGGCTCACACCTGTAATCCCAGCACTTTGGGAGGCCGAGGCGGGTGGATCACCTGAGATCAGGAGTTCAATACCAGCCTGACCAACATGGCGAAACCCTGTCTCTACCAAAAAATATAAAAATTAGCCAAGCATGGTGGCAGGCGCCTGTAATCCCAGCTACTCCGGAGGCTGAGGCAGGAGAATCACTTGAATCAGGGAGGCAGAGGTTGCAGTGAGCCGAGATCATGCCATTGCACTCCAGTCTGGGTGACAGAGCGAGACTCGGTCTCGAAAAAAGAAAAGAAAAAGAAAGAAAAAGCTTAAAGCAATCAGGGTTCTTTGGTAGTTCAGTCTGAAAAACAGTCTGAAAAACAAAGTAACACCAAATCAACAGAACAATCAATTGCCTTCTAACAATCCAATTGCAAATTAAGTTAGCAGAGCTGATGACTCTATGAAGGTGCACAGGCTGGGTGTAGGGTTGAAGGCCTGTGTAACCTCAACTCAGGTGGGGAGTCAGAAATGTTACAACTGGAGCCAGAGAGACAGAGCCCCCCTGTAGAAGGTACACAGATTGCCAGGAAAATGCCCTAGGAGATTACGGGGAATGTGGGAGAAGGAGGGAGAAAAAAATCAAGTTAAGGAAAGGGAAGCAGACAGAAGTGGTTCCCTTTTGGGGGAGGGGGTTGGTGTGTGGAGGAGGTCATTAAGGTTCAAGAAGACTACTGACCTGCAATGACCTTATTTATGGCTAGTTGTTTTAACAAGAAAACATTACTGTGACTAGACAACCACCAAACATCTGTTTCTATTGCAGCTTATGTAGGTCATAACAAGTTTTTATTTATTTGGATACAGGGTCTCGCCCTGTTGCCCAGGCTGGAGTACAGTGGCACGATCATAGTTCACTGCAGCCTCTATCTTCTGGGCTGAAGCCATATCCTGTTTCAGCTACATCAGAAGCTTGGACTACAGGCATGTGCCACCATACCTGTCTAACTTTTTAAATTTCTTGTAAAGATAGGGTCTCACTATGTTGCACAGGTTGGTCTCAAACTCCTGGGCTCAAGTGATCCACTTGCCTCAACTTCCAAAAGGGCTAGTATTACAGGCTTGAGCCACTGCACCCCGCCTAGAAGTGGCTTCTATTTTTTTAATTTTAAATTTACTTATTTATTTTTGAAACCAAGACTTGCTCTGTCACCCAGGCTACAGTACAGTGGCACTATCTCAGCTTACTGAAACCTCCTCCCAAGTAGCTGGGACCACATGTGCCCACCACCATGTCCAGCTAATTTTTTAATTTTTTGTAGAGACAAAGTCTCAACTATATTTTCCAGGCTGGTTTCAAACTCCCAGCTTCAAGCAATCCTCCTGTCTCAGCTTCCCAAAATTCTGGAATTATAGTCATGAGCCACTGCACCCAGCTTCCCAAGTGTTTTTGTTTTTTTTTTAATCTGTGTTCTATAGTTCTACTTTATTGATAAGTTTGACAAAAATCTAGGTTTGCAACATGTGATATTATGACAGAGAGAGATATATAGGTTTACATCCATGGTCCCTGGCTTATAACACCATAGCCCTTGTTATAATGCTGGGGTGCTTTAGGCCTCAGAAGCAGTTCTCAGAAAACAGAATCTCGGCCAGGCACCGTGGCTCACGCATGTAATCTCAGCACTTTGGGAGGCCAAGGTGAGTGGATCACCTCAGGTCAGGAGTTTGAGACCAGCCTGGCCAACACGGTGAAACCCCGTCTCCACTAAAAAATACAAAAATTAGCCAGGTGTGGTGGTGCACACCTGTAATCCCAGCTACTTGGGAGGCTGTGGTAGGAGAATCACTTGAACCCAGGAGGCAGAGGTTGTAGTGAGCCAAGATCATGCCACTGCATACCAGCCTAGGCGACAGAGTGAGAGTCCACCTCAAAAACAAGAAAAGAGAAAAGAAAAGAAAAAAGAGGCCAGGTGCGGTGGCACATGCCTATAATCCCAGCACTTTGGGAGGCCAAGGTGGGAGGATCCTGAGGTCAAGAGATTGAGACCATCCTAGCCAAATAGTGAAACCAC